ATAAAACTTGTCGAAATTAAAGCGTAAACCGGAAATAGTAAAAAACACGCGACGCGCAGCTCAGAGTTGCACACGAGCATAAAAAATGCAAAATGGGAATATCAGCGGCCATTCTGCATTGACGTGTCGTGCATTGTGACAGGTGTCTCTGCATGTGAGTGTGTGTGTGTGTGTTTTGCCTCTCTCTGTGTGTGTGTGTGTGTGCGCGAGTAGACATTAAAGTGCAAAAATGCTGAAAATGTTCAACTCAACCGAATGTGTCAAATGTTAGAAAACAAAGTGAAATAAAAGTGCCAACTATTTTAGTTATAGTTTCAAGCCAAACACACACACACACATACATTGCACTTAAATACACACACACACACACAGACAAACTCACAAATCTGCTCACAGCTGGCAACGCAAAAAAGTGAAAACAGCAGCGAGGCATTATTTGAAAATCCTGCTAAGGACCTCTGCATAGTGGGTGTTCTTTTTGCGCATTTAATTTGAAATTTGGCACGATTTTAATTTTAGTCTGACATTACTTAATTATTTATTTATTTATTTATCTATTTATTTATTTATTAATTTATTTATTTATTTATTAATTAATTAATTAATTAATTTATTTATTTATTTATTTATTTATTTACATATTTATTTATTTATCTATTTATCTATATATTTATTTATTTATTTACTTCATCGACAAACTTATAATGATTAATTGACTGATGAGGTTTACCCTAAAATTAGAGGAGCATTTTTCAGTAAAGACAAAAAATGTGTGATCAAAAGCTAAATTTCACTCCACGCTACCAAAATGTATTAATTTATACAAGTCCTTTCAAGAGCTACCTCTTAATTACATTTTCCTTATAAATTAATTTGTTCTCCTGTTAGATTTTGATCTTTTCAGCGTCGCGTAATGTTTCTTATACTTTATTTGCAATTTATTGTTTTAAGAGATATTTCAGCACCACAAATACAAGTCGGTTTAAAAGCTACTTCTTAATTTTATTTTCCTTATAAATGTTTTTTTTTTTTAAATTTTATTTGCCATTTATTTGTTTTAAGCTAAAAGATCTGCAGGTTTTTTCAAAAATGTTACAGCATTTCGCCTTAGGATCAGTCATATAAAAATAATCATTAGAGTAATCTTTATGCTATCAAGTACTTTTACATTTTTAGTATTCGTGCGGTATAAGAAAGATTAGAGATTGTACCTTGGATCTATGATATTTGGACAGTTCGTTCTAGCTTTGTGTGGCTGCCAGAATCATGATTACAAGACGTTGCATATCCGATAAAAAAAAGAGTATAATATTCTTATACTTAACCCTATATTGATCATTTATATGACTTAATTTTTTAGAAAGCGCCCAAGATGGCTGATAAAGTTAGTCCTACGAACTACATAATTATATACGTATGGAATTATAATTATAATATACCTTTAAAATTATTCTTGTAGTTGCGATAAATATTTCGGCTATATGATTACTTATAAAGACAATAGCCTACACTAATAGGTTATAAAGGTTGTATTAATCGGATACACCAGCACGATTAAATATATTTCAACTATGGTTCTATTCAAGATGAACATATCTTTTTTTCAGCCCGCGCTTCTACTCCAAAGAAACACCCTTTGAATACCCTTTATTTCTATTTATTCACTACTTACTACTGCAACATAGTGCCTTTTTCTCTACTACTCCTCCCGCTATCTATCTGTCCGTTTGTTTTACTGTCCACACACACACACACGCACACACACACATTCAAACACCTGTCTGTTTGTTTCTGTGTACCCTGTCGGCTTTATCTTTTCAACAATGGAAACACGTGTGGCATATGTTGCATTTATTTTCATTTTGCTTTTCCCTCCCAGTTGAACTTTCAAATTTTAAGTTTAAATTTGAACGTCAACAAAACTAAAAAACGAAACAAAACAAATGCAGAGAGTGTGTGTGAGATAGAGAGAGAGAGAGAGAGAGAGAGGAGGAGGTGCAAGCGTAAAACTTGCAACTGGCAAACCATTAAAACAAAGTTTTTAAAAGCAACCACAACATTCACGTCATGTGCATTGTGTGACGTTTGTTGTTGTTGTTGTCGTTGTTGCTGTTCTTCTTCTTCTTGTTGCGGTGGCGGCCAATATGGGAGTTGTTGCTATTGTTGTTGCTGATACTGTTGCTGCTCACAAACAAAATGCAGGAGCCAACCTGCTGCCTAACACGTATGCATGGCAACTTTAAAGCGCGCCCGCTGTTTTTATAGCCAAAAGCCAACACGGCAAGTTGCTTAAATGGCGCCACCAACAACAATAACAACGGTAACAGCAAGAAAGTTGTAAAGGGTAGAGTCACGCTCTCGAATGCCCTACAGACTTGTAAACAAGAACACCAGCTTGTCATATATTCTAGAACTCTTTTACGAAGGTTAATAATATAATATTTTTAACCTTCGCCTAACGTTCATAAGTACAGACAGACATTCGAATGGACATTACTAATTACATGGGCTATTCAAAATACTTGTGCTTGTTTAATTTGTCAAAGACTAGATATGTTCGCTTTGTTAGTTTTCCACTTGATTTATTCCTATCTATACTTCGAGACTTATGTGAGACTTTATTGAACTGTCTATATAACTCAGCAAACAGATGATCTGTAGCACACTTGCCTTCAATTGGAAAGCCCACTCACATCAGTCCACCTAGTACCTCAATCATCTCATAAGGCTGCCAATTTAAATGCTAGTCCTTGCAGGTGGGCTTACCCAGCCCAAATGGTATTTGTTTCTTTAATTAGCTTTCCACTTTAATTTTCAGTCTCTGAAATCCTATCTGTTGGTATCTGTAACGAATGCCATTACGATCCATCGGCTTAAGCTGGTCATATTTTGTTCGATTTATAATTCAAAAACACACGAGACCACGCAAACAAATGGGCACAGAATTAAGATCAATTTTGATTTGGCGACAAATGTTTAAGTCTGCTTTAATGAACAATTTTAGGAAGATAAACTATAAAAAGAACTCAAAAGTGTTTTTGGAGGGTAAACTTGTTTGAAAAATTACGATTTACAACAAAAAGAGGTAATCGGTTGGTTAGTTTGTGGAGTAAATATAATGATGTGTTGAGCCTATTTAAAAGATAGTTGAGGATAGGACTCTTACCAGCATGCTTCAAAAGGCGAGCGGACTCCATCGATCTTTTGATCGGCGGTTGCTCTTTTCTGCCATCTTAGATGTTCTCGACACTTTTCGGATTGACGGACCTATTACTTGCCATTTGAAGTGCTAAGATCGTGGCTTAGTTTCTTGTTTTACGGTTATTTAACAAATAAATGCGTCGCCGCCCAACATTAACGTTATTTTTGAGATATTAATATAATCATATTTTATAGTCAAAGCATGATATTTCTAATTTCTACACCCTTTGGTAGTTTGTTAAGATTTTTACAATATAACCCACCTCTCTGTGAGGAAAATGTTGTTTAAATATTTTAACAAAATATTTTGTCCAGTTCATTGCAGGAATTATCTTCAGTCTCATCTCTGCTCTTAGCCTTACTATTTTTTCCCATGCTCGCTATTCAGAAGTTCTTTGTTTTGTCGTTCTGTGCGCTCAGCCCTGCTTATTGGCTCAGCCCAGCTCTGCTGGAGTTCACGAAAGGATTCCCCCAATTAAAGTGTTGCATTCAACATAATGATTCCATAATACCTTTTAACCTTCGATTGCAGAGCATTACAAAACAGTTACTGCCATAGCAACAGCAGGAACACGAGTGCGAACGCTGCCTCCGTTTGTTGCCACATGTTGTAACTGCTGCCACATTAAATGTGCGCTTCTGGTTGCGGTTGTTGCTGTTGCTATTGTTGCTTTTGGTATTTTTATTGCTGTTGCTATTGTTGTTGTTGTTGTTGTTGTTGTTCTTAGTAGCGCATTTCACTTTTATGTTGCATCCACGCTAGTTTTCGGCGCCTCGCCCTCGTCCCGCCTCTGCATTCGAGTTCACATTCGCCCGGTATTTCTATTTTAGTTTTCATTTTTAGTTTTTTTTCTTTTGTTTTGTTTTCTTGAACACCACCAGCAGAGATTTCACTTCATTTTATGTTGTCAGACTTCCGAGTGAGCTTCGACTGACGCTTGGTCCTGCTACCATGCCAGATTCATTTTTCACATGCATTAATATGTCGTAGGTACGTATGTGGGTGGGAGGGTGTGTCTGTGTGTTCGCAGTGTATTTTCCGAGCTGGCCCCACTCGACATCTTCGGTTGAATTTGCTCCTAATGCTATAAAATGATCAGGCAAGGGATTAAAGAGCAGGCATCTACAAATATTGTGGCAGACAGTCTGGAGTCGATTTTTACGGACTTGTCATAAAATACGCAACAAAGGGCAAAATATTTGAAAAACATAATTAATATATTTCTAATACATGTCTCCACAAACATCTACTATTTTAGAGCCAGCTAACTAAAATAATATATGTCGAGAAAATGGCAGTTTAGAATAAAACTTGAATTCCAAATGTGCAAATTTTCTTTAAGCAATAAACACTCGTTATTATTTAATAATAATTCACACTACCGTTAGTTGGCAAACATTTAGTAAAACAACATGATTTAAGATATTAATAAAAGCAATTTAACAATTCTCTGTTTCCTTTCATTTACAGCTCAAACAAAATGATAACCTAAGGCCATACATTGGCGCACATAATTAACAAAAACAAAGCAAAAACAACTAACTTTAAAGAAATTACAAAAAAAAGTGTAATGTCATTGAATCTGAATAACACGAATTTGCAGCATTTACTTACAAGTTTACAAGATTTTGAAAATGTTCAAAATTATAAATTGATTTGTGAAAGCTTAAGATCCGTATTTTGAGAAGAAAAGAAAAGACATTGAGCGAAACAAATAAATTAACATAAAAATAAAAAAAAAACGTAACTCAAACCACCGCAAACATTGCTTTAAAATCATACAGAAGAAGAAAAACAACCACAAGATGACGCTGCGCTTATCGGCCAAATATAAAAATCATCTCGGACTCATAATTTATGGTTTTGCACTCTTGCTGACGACAGCAACGCCGAGCATAACGGCGGGACGCATATTTGGTAAGCACCGACCCCTTACACACTCCCGTACTACTCGTATATAACAATATCAAAAACAAAAACTCTAAATGCCCATTTAAGCAACAAAGTGTTCCCGGGCATCTTACAAATGCCTGCGCCTTAATTTCCTATCAGCTGTGTGCCTAATTAATGAGCTCACGCATTTCGACTAATGGAATTTTTAATGAAATGGCGCAGAATGGTTTCAAAATTTTGGGGACAGCAAAAAAGCAGCTGCTGCTGCCTCTGCTGGTGGACAAGCTCTCAATTAGCACACTGCTACAAATTTTGAATATAATAGGATGAAATAGAATGTTATGTGAGATAGTGTAGAATGTAATTTAGCACTGTTTTTCACTTGCTTGAAATATTCGCCAGGAGCAGGAGAAGTAAGTCAAGAGCGAAGTAAATTCCAATTTAAAGTAAAGTAAAGTTTCTTTGACGCAATCATTTTCTAGTTTGTGATGCTGAGTCGTAAACGTTTGTTTTCTAACCTCTTTCAAGGATTCGTATATTTTTATAATTGTAGAATAGATTTCGAAATACTATATTTGTTCAATGATGAGCGATTGACATTACATTAAGACTTATAGCAAGAAAGCATTATTTTCTTCTTAAATCTGTACTCTATTTCTTATATTTTCTAAATATATTTATAAAGCTCTCCTAATTCTCTTTTCAATTCCTTTGACCAAAAAACGAACCATTACTGAGTTTATTATAATTTGCATGTGATTTTTCTGGTGTGGAACAATCGAAACGAGAGAAAAACTAAATAGGTAGGACTGTGCTTTTTTATTTAAAGTTTCTGGAATTGCAACAGACATACTTCAGTACCTTCTGATGTCCGACTCGTTCAAAAAGCCCAGAATAAATATAGCCCCAAAATTGATCATTCAGTTGGAAAACAAGCCCACTCATTGGAGTTTGTAATTGGTGGCTCAATATTGCAGTAAAGAAAAGGTAGAACTCTTTAAACTGTAACTATATGTTTTTCATTCCATTGTATGTATTTCATTGTGATTTCACAAAAATTTAATTAAAATCAGATACAGAAAAAGTCACTTCAAACAGCAATGTTGTTCAATGTAGCTCTGTGTAATTATTGACGCTCGGCTATCTATATAATATGTACCTACAAGTGTCTCGAAGGCTGCCCAGCGGCGCCAACTGAGCTCCGCCAACGCACACACACACTCATATTCACATATATACACACAGATATACACAGAGATAGAGACAGACACACGCTGCCATTGACTTGATAGCGGTATTGGTTTTGGGGTTTTCATAACATTGTTCTTGTTCGGCTGTAGGCTCATGTTATTTTCGTATTAATTATAATTACAAAAGACCTACTTTTTTTTGTTTGTCGACATCGTTCATATTAATAAGAGATACAATACAAGCACACACACACATACATGCACACACATTTTTAAATCACAGCCAGGCAGCGATTTCTCCACACCCCTTTCGTCTTTTTGTTTGTTATCTACTTGTATGTCTGCAGCTGTCGCTTTGTTGTTGTTGCTCACTACTTATGTTGGTATTCCTGTTTTTATTCAAGTATGTCTATCTGTCTGTCTGTCTGTTTCGTTGAAATAATGAAAATAATTACATTTGTTGTTACGTGTTTTGTAATAGCAGTCGTATTAATTCGCTACCAACCCCAGCCCTTGGAACTCGAAAAAGGATTCACCGAGACTCAAAAACCACACTCGCCTAATTAACTAACAAATAAACAAGCCAAGTGGCAAACGAACTGTTTGTCCTTCTGTTATTTCTATGCATACGTAAATACATACGCATATGTACGAGTGGTGGCCATAATTTACATTTAATTATGGCAACTAGGCCCGTACTTAAATTTTCGGGCTTAGACAGGGAATTCAAGTTTAACCGCTTGTGTAAATGTCGGTCATATATGAAGGAGGTGGATGGCGGATGGTGATGGGGTTGGGGTTGGGGTTGGGGAAGGGAGAGATGTGCCTGTAGCTAATTGCACGTTTAATTTGTCACGTGTGCGTCATATGTCCTTGTCGCACTCTACCTCCGCTACCTCCGCTACCTCCGGGCTGCACAGTGAAGCAGAAATGCATTTTGTAAACTAATCGAAATATCGCTATTATAAATACTATGAGAAACTGAACAAAAACACGTATTGTATTGCATTGTAATTATACTTTAAAATGCTTTTCAGTTATGTTTTTTAATGCACAACGATTTAAGTGAATATTGTCAAAATAATGCATTTAAATTTTCTTTTTAAAAAAATTTTTAAAATTAATTATTTCTACAAACTTCTCAAGTTAACATTTTATTTCATCATTTATATCATCTCTTGGAAGGAGTTAAGATAAATGGGACGCCGATTTTTAAGTGAGATGGGGCCGATTTTAACTTATCACACTCACCTTATTGAAATATTTATCTTGTCAGGCACAGAGCTCTTCACTATTATATTCTATTTCTGTTTTCTAAACTCTCTTCCCCCTGTTAGGAGTTGTGTACAGCTGACACATGCATGTCTCCTTCAAACTCTAAAATACATATTCTGACTTGCTTATAAGAAAATTAATTCAAATTATCATTTCCAAGTGCATCAATCTTATTTCAAGTATTGAGGTAATTGTTTTCAAAGTGAATATAGATTTATTGTAATGCAATTAAACAAACTTGGGCGAATATTGAAATAAATAATGTAGGGTGATATTTAAATGATTGACTTACCGGCTGTATAATATCGTTAGTACTACTACTAAGAATTGTACCGAAGCTTCGTCATTTGCCTGTGAAGACATAAAGTTGAGTTCTACAGTCGGTCTTCTGTTTAGTGGAAGATACTCTCACTCAGTGGAAGATACTCTCATCTATCCTAAAGTTAAGCAAACCATTTTGTTTCCGTACCCACACATATTTAAAGTTTTTGACTAGCCGCATTCGTATTCTGAGCCACTGTACCTGTATGTTTGGGGTAGGTCACATTTATGGTAATAATTATTTTTGTAAACTTTCGGCAACCAACCATTTGCCTGACACAACTTTTGCTGTTGACCTACATTTTCGGTTTTGACCAGCACTCGCAGTCCCCAAAAAGTATGCTACAATAATTTGCGAATGTCTGTATGCTAGGGCGACTACACAAATGAGCGCATTTGAGCGCCATCATCAACAATAAAAACGTGGCTAGCAAAACAAAAAAAAGGAGAGAAAAACTAGATAGCAACCATGATGATTTTCAAATGTGTCGCATATTTTGTTTGTATGTATGTGTTTTTGTGCATAAGGTTGCATCGCTTTTTGTTTGTCATGCTTGCGCCTCTCATGCGTTCTCGCTCTCTCAATCTCTACACATAAATGTATGTGTGTGTGTGTGTGTGTTTGTGTGCTGTGAAACATTTTAATGCCGTCTGTGCGCAATGTTGCAGCAGAAGCGGCAGCAGTGGCAGCAGCAGAGAGCAAGGCAATAAAATTGCAGCCAAGCCAGCGCCGCCTTTCGTTGCATGCCTCGCAACTATCACACATACACACACACGCACACACACACATAGACTCGCACGACGCACATGTGAAAGCGAAAACTTTACGCGCTTGTTTGCTATAATTTCGATTGTTTTCACTACATGAAAGTGCAGCAACAACAGCAACAGCAACAAGAGCCACAGCCACAGCAGCAGCCACCGCACCACTGAACCCTTTTCGGCCCAGCTCTTCACTCATACACTGCTGTAGTTTTCGTTTTATTGATGTGCATGCCATTTGCCTTTGCCTTTGTTTTTACTGCTGCTGTCGTTATTGTTGTTGCTGTTGCTCTTGGTGCTTGTGTTGTTGTTGCTGTTGTTGTTGTTGTTGTGGCAACAGCGCGTGGAAAATTGTGACACAGAAGTTTGCTGCCACAGCTGGCAACACTTACACAACACCAACACCAATACCAACGCCAACACCAACACCAACACCATGGGATGCGACATTCCTGTACAATAAAATATGCACAATAAATAGCACACTTTCCTTTTTATTTTTGTACTTTTGTGCACTCTCTGCTTTTTTTGGTTAAGTGCAAACAATTTATGAACAACTTTTGAAAATATTTATAATTAAAGTTGTGCGGCATAAACGAAGAACAACAAAAACTGAAGAAACAAAATACAAAGCGACAGCAACAACAAATACCTAACAAGAACAAAGAGCAACACTTGGGGGGCATATAGCTGAGAGGCAAGTTGCTGGCAGGTGAGCTGAAAGAAAGCCTTTCAGCTTTCCCTTTCACAACAACGCACAGCAACGAGCAAATGCAATTTACGCACTTGGCATAGTTTTGGCGGCTGCCATTGTTGTTTTTGTTGCGGGTATTACCGCACTTTGATATCGCCAAACAACGAGTTGAAATATATACTATATACTATATACGAGTAATTGTGGATGTTGCAACATTTGCCGATTCTCTGATGCAAGGCAGTACTCTGAGCGCATTCTGGCGACTAATTGGTTACATTAGATGCAGCAAAGGGAATTCTCTCGGTTGTTGCTTTAGTAGTGGAAATTACATTGTTGGCTAATGGCGTGGGACGAAACGTCTATTGTTTGGCGACTTTTGTTTCCAACTACTTGCCAATACAAGGAAAATACTATATCTTTGTGATTTACTCCCAGCAGGATTGACAAAGAGAGTTCCAAAGACATGACGTTGCATTTTCAAACTATCAAATAGTTGCTATTCTAAATGGAATACAACTCAGTGTCTGGTCGCCATTTTCCATCTTTGTTTTATGTTTTAAAATTCAATACTATTGTGCATATATATTTGAAAGTTCCATTAGAAGTACCTGCTAGAATGTCAAATTAGATACTTCCAATTCCTTTTCTGAGTGAAAACTATTTTCATACCAGTCCAACTCACTATCTTTTCAAATTAATGATAGCTGAGTTTCTGGAAAGCTCTCTCTCCATTCTATAAACTTTATCCTTTATAGTTATCTCCTACGAAATCTCTGACA